CATCTCCATTATGTCCAAAATTCACCATTAAACTACAAGCGTCACCACTATTCTCCTTCTCCTCTTCCCTCTTCTCCTCCTGCTCCTCTATCATCTTCTTCTTCTTCTTCTTCTTCTTCTTCTTCTTCTTCTTCTTCTTCTTCTTCTTCTTCCTCCCTCTTTCTTTCTTTCTTTCTTTCTTTCTTTCTTTCTTTCTTCTTCTTCTTCCATCCTTCAAGGTCCCGGGAAGGATCGCAGCATTAAAACACACTATTAAAAGCAATTCAACTTTTTCATGCCCTGAATTGAGATGAAACAAGAGTCCCATTCCGGAACGGGCGTCAGCGATCACCCTGCCTCTCTGGGCCGAGGCAGCGAAGACCTCCATGTGAAACTCTGCCGCGGGTCTCGCCACGCCGAGCAGATCCTCCAGACTCTCAACTCCTACCGGCTGGACGGCATCTTCACCGACGTGGTCCTCACCATGGGCGGACACGAATTCCCTTGCCACCGGGCTGCCTTATCCGCCAGCAGCACCTACTTCCGGGCTCTGTTTGCTGGGGGCGCGAAGGAAGGCCGCCAAGGCACCGTCCATCTCCGCGAGGTCTCTGCTCCCAGCCTGAGCCTCATCCTGGACTACATCTACGGTGGGGACATCCTCATCCAGGAGGACAACGTGGAAGACCTGCTGGAGCTGTCCAGCTTTCTCCAAATCCCAAGGCTCAAGGACGCCTGTGTTGCCTTCTTAGAAGGTGAGCTGCATCCTCACAACTGTCTGGGCATCCTGAAGGTCGCAAACTCTTTTTCCATCCCATCTCTGACCGAGAGGAGCAAGAACTGTCTGCTGGAGGGCTTTGTGGAGATCTCTCACCACAAGGAGTTTCTGGAGCTGGAAGCCAAGGAGTTTGCGAGCTGCCTGGAGAGCGATCACTTGGCTGTCCCCAAGGAGGAAGCCGTCTTCGAGGCAGTGATGCGGTGGGTGAACCACGATGTGGTTGCCAGGAAGGGGGGCCTGAAGGATTTGCTCCAGCACGTGAGGCTCCCCCTGCTAGACCCTGTTTATTTTCTAGAAAAGGTGGAGACGGACGAGCTCATCCAGAAATCCAAGGAGTGCATCCCTTTGCTGCTAGAAGCCCGCAAGTATTATGTCCAAGGCAAGGAGGTCAGCTCTCAGCGGTCTAGACCCCGAAGGTAAAAAGACAGAGAAAAAGTTGCAACTAGGGCTGGGCAACCTATCGATATATCATCCCAAACCGGTTTGAAGTCCATACTGATTCCATAATTTTTGACCTGGCAATATACAGTGGTACCTCAAGTTAAGTACTTAATTTGTTCCGGAGGTCTGTACTTAATCTGAAACTGTTCTTAACCTGAAGCACCACTTTAGCTAATGGGGCTTCCTGCTGCCGCCGCGCAGCCAGAGCACGATTTCTGTTCTCATCCTGAAGCAAAGTTCTTAACCTGAAGCACTATTTCCGGGTTAGCGGAGTCTGTAACCTGAAGCGTATGTAACCTGAAACGTCTGTAACCCGAGGTACCACTGTATATGACTTCCCTCCTCTTTGTGGATCCTATTCTTAGTCCTTTCCTCTTGCATTTTTTATAATAATCCAAATAAATAATAAATAATAATTTATTATTTATACCCCGCCCATCTGGCTGGGTCTTCCTACCCACCCTGGGTGGCTTCCAACAAACTATAAAAATACAGTGGTCTGTTAAACATTAAAAGCTTCCCTAAACAGGGCCGCCTTTAGATGCCTTCTAAATGTCAGGTAGTTGTTTATCTCTTTGACATCTAGTGGGAGAGTGTTCCACAGGGCGGGCACCACCACCGAGAAGGCCCTCTGCCTGGTTCCCTGTAACTTAGCTTCTTGCAGCGAGGGAACCGCCAGAAGGCCCTCGGAGCTGGACCTCAGTGTTGGGCAGAATGATGGGGGTGGAGACGCTCCTTCAGGTCTACTGGACCGAGGCCGTTTAGGGCTTTAAAGGTCAGCACCAACATTTTGAATTGTGCTCGGAAACGTACTGGGAAATGTAGATCTTTCGAGACCGGTCTTATGTGGTCTCGGTGGCTGCTCCCAGTCACCCGTTTAGCTGCTGCATTCTGGATTAGTTATAGTTTCCAGGTCTCCTTCAAAGGTAGCCCCACATAGAGTGCATTGCAGTAGTCCAAGCGAGCGATAACTAGAGCATGCACCATTCTGGCAAGACAGTCTGCGGGCAGGTAGGATCTTAGCCTGCGTACCAGATGGAGCTGGTAAACAGCTGCCCTGGACACAGAAATGACCTGTGCCTCCATGGACAGCTGTGAGTCCAAAATGACTCCCAGGCTGCACACCTGGTCCTTCAGGGGCACAGTTACCCCATTCAGGACCAGGGAGTCCTCCACGCCAGCCCGCCCCCTGTCCCCCAAAAACAGTACTTGTCAGTGTCTTGTCAGGATTCAACCTCAATCTGTTAGCCGCCATCCATCCTCTAACCGCATCCAGACACTCACTCTTTTTGCATCTCCATTATGTCCAAAATTCACCATTAAGCTACAAGTGTTATTCCAATCCCACTAACGTTTTTAGCTGTTTATAATGGTTTATAAAATAGATTTCTGATTCTTCCGGTCATTTTTGCCATTTTGGCATAATCCATCCACTTGATCATTCTTCTCTGCTAAGGACTTTTTCTTCTTTCCATCTCTGGACCAATAACATCCAGGCAGCTGTGGTCGCATACATAAATAGTCTTATATGCTCCCTTGAGATTTTGGCACCTAGAATTCCTAAAAGTAAGGCTTTGAGGGTATTTTTTCAGAAAAGGATATTTTAAACATTTTTTCCAACTCATTATATATCATTTCCCAAAATTCATTTACTACTGGTTTCACAATTTTTGACCTGGCAATATATCGCATATCATGATGCACATTAGGGCTGAACGATGTCTGGCTTTCAGTTTTGTGATATATCGCCAGCTAAACATCGTGATATACTGATATAGCATGATGTCAGAAATAAGGATGTAACTATTCAGAGGCGAAGGGGGTAATGTCCTGGCAACTTCTACTACTTAGAAGTCTATATAAAAACATATATAAAACAATGGCCAATTATTTCCATTTTATTTTAACACGTTGTGTTCCAAATTCTACCTGTTTCTTTTTTGTGGGAATTCCTTGTTGTTGTTTAGTCCTTTAGTCATGTCTGACTCTTCGTGACCCCCTGGACCAGAGCACGCCAGGCACTCCTGTCTTCCACTGCCTCCCGCAGTTTGGTCAAACTCATGCTGGTAGCTTTGAGAACACTGTCCCACCATCTCATCCTCTGTTGTCCCCTTCTCCTTGTGCCCTCCATCTTTCCCAACATCAGGGTCTTTTCCAGGGAGTCTTCTCTTCTCATGAGGTGGCCAAAGTCTTGGAGCCTCAGCTTCAGGATCTGTCCTTCCAGTGAGCACTCAGGGCTGATTTACTTCAGAATGGATACGTTTGATGTTCTTGCAGTCCATGGGACTCTCAAGAGTCTCCTCCAGCACCACAATTCAAAAGCATCCACTCTTCGGTGATCAGCCTTCTTGATGGTCCAGCTCTCACTTCCATACATCACTACTGGGAAAACCAGAGCTTTAACTATACGGACCGTTGTTGGCAAGGTGATGTCTCTGCTTTTTAAGATGCTGTCTAGGTTTGTCATTGCTTTTCTCCCAAGAAGCAGGCGTCTTTTAATTACGTGACTGCTGTCACCGTGGGAATTCCTACCCATCCCTTGAAATGCCACTGACTTAAAAACCAGCCTTTCCAGCGTGATCTCGCAAAGTGCCATAGAAGCCTTACTGGGTAGTGGTACCTCGGGTTAAGTACTTAATTCGTTCCGGAGGTCTGTACTTAACCTAAAACTGTTCTTAACCTGAAGCACCACTTTAGCTAATGGGGCCTCCTGCTGCCGCCGCGCCACCGTAGCACGATTTCTGTTCTCATCCTGAAGCAAAGTTCTTAACCTGAAGCACTATTTCCGGGTTAGCGGAGTCTGTAACCTGAAGCGTATGTAACCTGAAGCGTATGTAACCTGAGATACCACTGTATTTATTAAATTCATATACCGCTCTTCATCCTAAGTTCTCGGGGCTGTTCACAGAATAAAATACAGGATGAAAACAAATAAGTAAAACAAAAGAGCAAATTATTCAGTTATTAGATTTATATCGTCAGCACTAAAGGTCAGATGTAGTTTGGGTCTGAAGGTCGTTGTCCCCTCCACCTTTATAGGGATGTGGGTCATGTTGTGTTGCCAAAAGGGTCTTGCCGTCCTCTGAGACGAACAAATTTCTTTTCTTATCCCAGATACATGGAGTTAGCAGAGATGATCGTTGTGATTGGAGGCTGCGGCAAGAAAGGGTCCTTCAAACTTCCTTTTGTGGATATCTTCCACCCTGAAAGCAAGCAATGGAAGCCACTATCCAGCGTCCCTGGATATAGCAAGTCAGAGTTTGCTGCCTGCACCTTGAAGAACGACGTCTACATCTCAGGTGAGATGGCTGCATAGAATCATAGAGTTGGGACCCCGAGGGTCATCTAGTCCAACCCCGCAGAAATAGCCTCCTCCCTTCCTTGGGAGGAGATGGAGAAGACCACTGTATGACTGATGGATTGATTAATTAATTACATTTCTATTCTGCCCTTTTCTCCAAGGAGCTCAAAATGGCACACGTGGTTCTCTCCCTCCTCATTTGATCCCCACAGCGACCCTGTGAGGTAGGTTAGGCTGAGAGGTAGCAACTGGCCCAAGGTCACCCGGGGAGGTCCGTGGCTGAGCGGAGACTAGAATTCCCGTCTCCCAGTTCCCAACCCGACACTCTAACCACTACACCACACTGCCTTTCTGTATGTGTCATGAGAAAGAGCCAAGGGGCCAATATCCCCTTCTAAGTTTCTTCCAAAATCCCCCGCTTCCCTCAGCAGAGAAAGAGACCACACGTTTGGACAGTTTAAAATGATTTACTTACAAATCCTTACAAAGATTCATGAGCTTTCCCGCACAGCGGCAAGAAAAGGCAGGCAGTATCACGTCGGTTACAAAATGTTCAATGCTTCTAAATTATTTGTATAGAAACACAAAGATGACTTCCTTAAGCCACGTGGTCTAGGCTTGGAGCAGCTAGCTTAGACATCTCTACTTGTAGAGTTTGCGTGGTGGAAGATGAAGGAACAAAGAGTTTGGTAGCCCTTCCTCCCGTGGTGAGCTACCTGGCAGGACAGCTTACTCTATGGTCTTAACCCCTTCATGCGTTAATTAGAGCTAAGCATGCTGGTTCTATGAGGCTGGATATAACCCACAAAATGGCCCTGAATACCAGTTGGTAGGAATCTCAGGTGGGAGAGACCTGTTGAGCTCAGGTCCTGCTTTTGGTTTTCCATTGTGAGAACAGGATGTTGGATTAGATCAGGCATCAGCAACATTTTTCAGCCGGGGGCCGGTCCACTGTCCCTTAGACCTTGTGGGGTCCGGACTATATTTTGGAAAAACAAATAACAAATTCCTATGCCCCACAAATAACCCAGAGATGCATTTTCAATAAAAGCACACATTCTACTCATGTAAAAACATGCTGATTCCCGGACCGTCCGTGGGCTGCATTTAGAAGACGATTGGGCCAAATCCGGCCCCCGGGCCTTAGTTTGCCTACCCATGCCTTAAGTCTTTTGGCTCCTGTGTTATGCAGCTGCTCTGTGTCTGCTTTTGCAGGAGGCCACCTGAACGGCAGAGATGTCTGGGTGCTGAGCTCCCAGCTGAACGTCTGGATGAGGGTCGCCTGTTTGCAGAAAGGGCGGTGGAGGCACAAGATGGCCACCCTCCAGGGAAAGGTACAGACTTCTCTTTGCTTTCTGATTGGTGGGGGGTGTCGTGGCCGCAGGAGGGAGAGGCATTTGTTATTATTCCCCAACCTGACGCATCTGTGCCTCTCCTCTCCTCTCCTGCTTCAGCTTCTTCCTCTGATTCTGGCTGCCTCTCTGCCACCGACTCTCCCCGCTCACTAAGCCCTGTTCCCTCTCCATCTTCCGATGCCTCTTCCTCCCAGTCTTCTCCCTCTTCTCCCTCTGACCACTCATCATTGCCCTACCACCATGCCCAAGGCTCAGCGGCTTCAGTGCTTGTTATGTACTGAGTTGAATAGGATCCAAAATGCAGCAGTCTGATTGGTCCTAGAACAATAGGATTCAGAATGCAGCAGTCTGATTGGTCCGTAGGAGCCACCCAATCCAACTCCGGGTGGAAGTGAATCCGCAACCTGATTGGCCTACAGGAGAATCCCAGAATTAGCCAATCACGTGGGGCCCATTGTGTAAATAATGTATATAAAGCAGACATTTCGGGGGAACTTCCATTCCTCCTCACCACTATGAGCTGAATAAAGAGCACGAAATCCACTCTCAACTCCGAGTATATTTCAGTGCTGGATTTGCCTATAAGCTAAACAAGCTATAGCGTAGGGCCCCGATCTCTTGGAGACCCCCCCAAAATTTAAAGGAAAACCCCCCTGGATTTACATTTCTAAAATGTAAGATAAAAAAATAAATAAAATAAAACTTATGTACAGCAACAGTGTTTTGTGTTGTGTAGGCTCCTACGATGTAAGTTATGGGCCCCGCCTGCTAACCTGCTCCCTAAAATATCACTGGTTTGCTCCTTTCTATATACAGTGGTACCTCAGGTTAAGTACTTAATTTGTTCCGGAGGTCCGTACTTAACCTGAAACTGTTCTTAACCTGAAGCACCTCTTTAGCTAATGGGGCCTCCTGCTGCTGCCACACCGCCGGAGCACAATTTCTGTTCTCATCCTGAAGCAAAGTTCTTAATCTGAAGCACTATTTCTGGGTTAGTGGAGTCTGTAACCTGAAGCGTATGTAACCTGAAGCGTATGTAACCCGAGGTACCACTGTATAGGGTGCCTACATTCTGCATGGACTGGTTATTTTGTTATGTGCAAATGGCTTTCAATACCTATTATGTCCATAAATTACCATATAGCATATATCCAACACAAAAAACAGTGACAATTTGTTGTTGACAAAGGACAGCTGGACATATAAAGGGCCCCATTACCTTAAGTAGCTTAGGGCTTCATCAAACCTGTATCTGGCCCTGCTTCCATGTATTTCAGTTCTAGCACCTGTGTATTTCCTTTCTATTTATTTATTTGCAAATTTACAAGCTGCACTTCCATTTTTAAAAAACAGTCAGCTTTAAGGTCTTTAAGCAGAGGCTTGACAACCATATGTCAGGAGTGCTCTGATGGTGTTTCCTGCTTGGCAGGGGGTTGGACTCGATGGCCCTTGTGGTCTCTTCCAACTCTATGATTCTATGATTCTATGATTCTAACCCAGCGATTTCTGTCATCTCCTTAAATACCCTTTGCCAAAATTCTTTTACACAATTTACACCATTTTATGTTTCACAACCACCCTGCAAAGTAGTTCGGGCGACTGAGGCTGGCCCAAGGTGGCTTTGAGTGGGGGATTTGAACCCTAGTCCGGCACTCTAACCACTGTACCACGCTGCCTCTCGCTCTGCCCGCACCCCATTTACAAGCCCGCCTGCATCTGGGTGAGATCAGAGATCTGATGAATCACGTCCTCCCCAATTCTCGCCGACAGATCTACGCGGTGGGCGGCTACGACGGCTTTGGCCGCCTGGCCAGCGTGGAATGCTACGACGCCTTTTCCAACAGCTGGGCAGATGTTGCGCCATTGCCCGAGACAGTGAGCTCGGCGGCTGTGGTGCCGTGTCTCGACAAGCTGTATGTGATCGGGGGCGCCGTGGAGGACGGGGCCAACACAGATAAGGTACTGCCGGGGTTCCCAACCTTTGGGGGGCCGTGGGGACTTTTGCAAACTGAGCCTCTGCATCTGTCCGCCTCTCCTGGTATGTTTCACCTTACGGTCTTCAAACAAAAAACATCTTGGAGGTCCCGGCCACAGGGAGGTTAGGCTGGCCTCAACTAGAGCCAGGGCTTTTTCGGTCGTGGCCCCGATCTGGTGGAACGCTCTGTCACAAGAGACTAGGGCCCTGCGGGACTTGACATCTTTCCGCAGGGCATGCGAGACAGAGCTGTTCCACCAGGCCTTTGGCCAAGGCACAGCCTGACCCCCTCCTTCAGTAATCCTCACAGAACTCTAGCCCAATGGTTGCCATCAATTTGATTTGAACTGATTTTATAAGGAATTGATTTTAGAATGCTGTATTATTTTACTGTTCTCTGAGGCCGGCTTCAGCTGGGGAGGACGGGATGTAAATATTATTATTATTATTATTATTATTATTATTATTTATTGCTCCCCCAGGTTCAGTGCTATGACCCAGAGGAAAACAAGTGGATCCTTCTGTCAGCAGCCCCTTTCCGCCAGCGATGCCTCAGCGCCGTTACTTTGGATCACTCAATTTACGTTGTTGGAGGACTGCTGAGTAAAATCTTCAGCTACAGCCCCCAGACGGACACCTGGGCTGAAGTTGCGTCCCTCCTGGGACCTCTGGTAAGGAGAATGCCATTGGGCCCTTAGAGAATTTGTTGTGGGACCAGTTCCAAGATGGGGTGCCACATCTAAAAGGGCAGAAAAAAGAGACAGGACCCCAGAATGGTGAAAACAGGCTCCTCACCAGCCATCAGTAGGGATAAAGGCACCTAAACCAGCTATTGTCTTGCTTGCTCACAGGAAGTAGCTATTTTATTATTTTATTTTCTATTATTATTCACTAAATTGTAAATTGTTTTGAGTTGCCCTGGGTGCAAGATAAAGAAACCAACAAGTTTAATAAAAAAATAAAAGCCAAAGGCCCCTAGTGGAAAATAAATGTTTTTGCCTGGCGTTTAAATGTATGTAACGATGGGGCCAGACGAGCCTTTCTGGGGAGAGCATTCCACAAGCGGGGAGCCACCACAGAAAAGGACCTGTTCTCATGCTGCTCCTGTTCAGAATACAAGGAGGGTGGGTGTCCAATCCTGGTATCAAATGAGATGTGGCGGGGCTGGCTCAAGACCTTTTGGTGCCTGATGTCAGGAACGTGGCCACCCAGAGCACAGGGGATGAGTTAGACTAGAAACAGGTAAAAAGGTAAAGGGACCCCTGACCATTAGGTCCAGTTGTGGCCGACTCTGGGCTTGTGGCGCTCATCTCACTTTATTGGCCGAGGGAGCCAGCGTACAGCTTCTGGGTCATGTGGCCAGCATGACTAAGCCGCTTCTGGCGAACCAGAGCAGCGCACGGAAACGCCGTTTACCTTCCCGCTGGAGCGGTACCTATTTATCTACTTGCACTTTGACGTGCTTTCGAACTGCTAGGTTGGCAGGAGCTGGGACAGAGCAACGGGAGCTCACCCCGTCGCGGGGATTCGAACCGCTGACCTTCTGATCGGCAAGTCTTAGGCTCTGTGGTTTAACCCACAGCGCCACCCACATCCCTAGAGACTAGAAATAGAACTAAGTAAATGAGGGACTCACTCTTCAGATGAGAGTTGGCTGACAAAGTCAAGAAAGGGCAATTTGACCCCCCTTCCTGGGGAAGACTGTTAGCTCTCAAGGAGAGGAAGAATTGGGAGGCAGCCAGAGCGTTGCTAGGCAATCAGAAGATAAGCCGAGATCTGAGTCTGTGTCGAGTGACAGTGGGGAGGAGGGGGCAGGCCAACTTCTCAGTCCCCGTTCTAGGCATCTGGATAAGATCTGATGGCAACGGAAGGGAAAGGCAGTAGTTTGGCGTCCTTCCTGCTGTGGGAGGGGCGAAAATTCAGACTGATCAACTATCGTAAATGCGAGCAGGCGAGAAGCTGTGCTCTGGGTGTGTCTTTTTTAAAATAAACGTACATAAAAATGCTGGAGGGTCATTACTTCTTATCGGGCCTTGCTTGCCTGCCAGAGATCATTACACCTGAGTAGACCCCAAAGTGGTGTCCTTCCTTCCTACCAGATGAGGGAAGATCTACATTTGGAACAAGGAAGGGAAGAACGATCTATACAGTGGTACCTCGGTTTACGAACTTAATCCGTTCCAGAAGTCCGTTCTTAAACCAAAGCTGTTCTTAAACTGAGGCACGCTTTCCCTAATGAGGCCTCCCGCCACCGGTGCCCTTCCACCATTCAGCTTCTGTTCATAGACCGAGGTAAAGTTCGCTAACCGGAACACTACTTCCGGTTTTGTGGAGTTCGTATACCGAATCGTTCATAAGTGGGGCTGTTATTAAACCAAGGTACCACTGTATCAAGATAAGAAGAAGAAGAAGAAGAAGAAGAAGAAGAAGAAGAAGAAGAAGAAGAAGAAGAAGAAGAAGAAGAAGAAGAAGAAGAAGAAGAAGAAGAAGAAGTTATTTATACCCCACTCATCTGGCTGGGTTTCCCCAGCCACTCTGGGCAGCTTCCAACAAAACACTAAAATACATTAACCTATTAAAGATTAAAAGCTTCCCTAAACAGGGCCGCCTTCAGATGTCTTCTAAAAGTTTGGTAGTTGTTGTTCTCTTTGACATCTGGTGGGAGGGTGTTCCACAGGGCGGGTGCCACTACCGAGAAGGCCCTCTGCCTGGCTCCCTGTAACTTGGCTTTTCGCAGTCAGGGAACCGGCAGAAGGCCCTCAGAGCTGGACCTCAGTGTCTGGGCTGAACGATGGGGGTGAAGACGCTCCTTCAGGTAGACTGGACCCTGTAGGTTTTGCCACCTCACCTTGCCTCATGCATGGGCCGGCCCTGAGATGTGGGCAAGTTTAAAGGGGTGGGTGTTCGAGGAGAAGCTGAGCCAGCACAAATAACAGCTGAGCTGAGAGGCCGTTTTTTGTGGATTTTCGAGGGGATACGGACCTCTCCTCTTTCTGACTTTCCCCTCTTCCTTCAGGAGAACTGCGGCGCCACCGTGTGCTCTGGCAAAATCTACATCCTGGGCGGCACAGACGAAAACGAGCAAGGCACAGACAAGGTGTTCTCTTTTGATGTGGAGACTGGGGTGGTGGAACCCGAGACCCCGCTCCAGCGCAGGACCAGTTGCCACAGTTGCGTGACCATCCTCCGGAGCAGGACCAGGTGACCCCAGTGGTGACCCCCTCCCCTTTTCCTCCTCTCCACAACCATGGCCCATGTATAATTGCTCCTTTGAAAACTGGTCCTCAAGAGATAGTGCTCCCAATTTGTTGTTGTTTAGTCGTTTAGTCATGTCTGACTCTTCGTGACCCCCTGGACCAGAGCACGCCAGGCACTCCTGTCTTCCACTGCCTCCCACAGTTTGGTCAAACTCATGCTGGTAGCTTCAAGAACACTGTCCAACCATCTCGTCCTCTGTCGTCCCCTTCTCCTTGTGCCCTCCATCTTTCCCAACATCAGGGGCTTTTCCAGGAAGTCTTCTCTTCTCATGAGGTGGCCAAAGTACTGGAGCCTCAGCTTCAGGATCTGTCCTTCCAGTGAGCACTCAGGGCTGATTTACTTCAGAATGGATGCGTTTGATTTTCTTGCAGTCCATGGGACTCTCAAGAGTCTCCTCCAGCACCATAATTCAAAAGCCTCCCAATAGGGATGGGCAATTTTGGTTTCTCATTCTTCCAACCTTAAGTTCACCCCCTCTCCATTTCCACATCAGTTGGGCGTTTCATTTCCCCACCCCAGAAAATCCGCACGTCTTTCTTGTGCTTAACGAGCACCATTTTGTATGCCGTTTTGCCTCTCGCACACATTTCTCCAGGCAGTTTCCTCTGATATAGTGCAGGGTTGGGTTTTTTTGTACATTTTGAATATAAGCACTTTTTTTTTGGCGTCTGCTCTTCCCATTGCAAAAGTTGGTGCTGAATTTCAAGAGACAGCTGCCTTTCATTTTGCATACTGCTCAGAAAGTGCCAGTTAACATAGATTTGCATCGAAATGTGAACCGAAGGAATCTCTCTCCTCATCCCCACCTCCAAAAGTTGTTGGACTCCAACTCCCATCGCCCATTAGCCAGACTGATGGGGGCTGATGGGTTTTGTAGTCTAAAACATCTGGAGGGCACCAGATCAGGGAAGGCTGCCCTTATAACATAAAACCTTGGGGCTGGTATTTGTTTTTTTACCAGCCATAATTTTGTCTGTGGCAAATCCCAGCAGCTGCAGAACTGGACTGCTGACCCTCTAATATCATTTTTTTTTGTATATATCAGGAGTCCCCAAAGCACTTCTCCTTCATTAATTGTTTTAACCTAACAACAGCCCTTCAAGGTCTGATCACCATGTTGCAGACAGAGACAAGGGCTGGGGTGCTTAAGTCTGTGGCTCATCTACAGCTACCTGGAGAGATGAGGAGGGAGGAGATATTCAAATTGTTCATGTTAAATCCTTGGCCCCAATCCTGCCCCATTTCTTCTCTGTTTTTCTCCCAATGAACCCTTTGTTTCTGCTGCCGCCGCTGCGTCCCTCTGCTTCCCCCCGAGGCCAATTCGTACAGATGTGCCGCCCCGGTTTTAATCGCCTTCATTTTCACATTTATCGTCCACGCATTGCTAAAGAACTCCTAATCTCACGAAGGCAGACCCCTTTCTCTAATCCTCTGGAGCTGCCACTGTGTTGGGTGGGTGGGTGTTTTCAGAAATATATAATGGGGGTGTCCAGCTGGTGTGGGTTGATAGAGCTCTCAAAATGAGCCGCGTTGAAAGACCTCCAGCTGAGAAGGCAGGCGCTCAGCGATTAACGGAGATAAAAGGTTGCCATCGCCATCTGGGAACTCCCGCTATGGAGACAATGAAGGCAGGTCATTGCGGGGCTCGGCAGTATAAAGTGTTTTAAACTGATTTTAATATTGTATTTTTATTTGGTGATAAGATGCCCTGGGAACCTCTAGTGAACGGCAAGTACGAAAGGCAATGACCATTTGTCGTTTGTTATTACGCAGGAAATGCAGGAAGATGTCTCTTTGAACAGCGCTGACCACAAGGGAAAGAGGCAAACTCTACCTTTCATACAGCAAAACACCAACACCACAAACTGGCTTATAAGTATAAAACCAAATTGACTAGAATAATAGCTAGAACAGAGATAGACTTATAACCATCCAAACCACAAACATACTAAGGTGCCATGTGCAAGACAAAGCCTGGAGATTGTGTTTCCAACTCAAGACCCATTGAAGAACATCTCATCCAGTTCAATCTTTGAAAACGAACTTTGAAAAACTTTTTCATATTCTCCAGTGTGCTACCCTTGCCGTTGTGGCGGCACGGGGTTGCCGTTCCGTGATTGGACTTACGCTACTTGTTGAATGGTTCATTTATCCAGTCTGTATAACGTTTACTGCACATGTAACTTGTTAAGATAGAGTTGTACATTTATCCACTCCATGTTTACAGTATCTCCAGGCTTTGTCTTCCACATGGCACCTTAGTATGTTTGTTGTATTCTAGCTATTATTCTAGTAAATTTGGTTCTATACTTATAAGCCAGTTTGTGGTGGTGGTTGTTTTGTTGTATTATTATTACTGTCACCACATTTGATACTTTGTGTATATACTACCTTTCATAGAGACCATCCCAGATTTCAGTCCCAACTGTCCTCTCCAGGTGGAGCTGGCTGAGGTTCCCTGCCTGAAATCCTTGAGAGTTGTCACCCATCAGAATATTGAGTACCAATTGTCTGACTCAGTTTAAGGCAGCTTCCCATGTTCCTAAAATGTAATTTAGAGAGATGCTACTTCCTCATCTAAGAGATACGGTTCCTCTTAAGAGACTCTGACCCAATTTTGCTTGCTGGCTCCTGAGATCAAAGAGCAGATTTTTGCCTATGTTTGGATATAGCTGGACGCCCTTTTGAATCAAGATGGCAGACCAAACCATTAAAAACGCTGCATTTTTTGTTTCTTCAAGCAATGCTAAGGTACGAGGCTGCTAGTTAGAGATAAACTGAACTGCCCTTTGTCTTTTATCTGCCCCTGAATTGACTAATGTCTTTTACGCCAGCGTAAAAACCAAGCACAATGAAATAAAGAAGGAGAAACAACCAGACCCGTCTATTGAGATTCTTACAAAGTTTTTAAATCCATAGATTTCTAATGTCAAAATCAAGTTGTAGGAACGCGGAGGAGTCCAGGCGGGCTGCGTTTCAGAAAGGCAACAGGCCGTCGTTCCTCCACGTCAAGTAGTGAGCGAAGCCTTGCACGATTCTGTTGACGTTATGCTCACCGAGAAACGCCAGGAGGGTCTCCGCCATGAATTCGTGGTTGAAAAAATAGGTGTAGCACAAGGCCAGGGTCAGCAGGAGAACGCAGCCGAGCACCAAGACGCTCAGGACTTTGCCCACCTGCCAGAACCAGTGCATGGCTTTCCTGCTCTTTGACTGCTGCAAGGCAACATCCACCAGTTTGGCCTCCACAATTTCGTGCATTAGCGAGCCGATCTGCACCCTGTTTTCCTGGTCCAGCCTCAAGATGGTGGCCTGTTGCACGCAGGTCTCTAGCTGGGCCTGCAGATCTTTGATGTCGTTCCTCTGGCTCTGGCGGAGTTGAAGAAGCGCCCCGACTTTCTCCCTCAGCTGGGAGGAATTGTTCTTCTCCGCTTGATAGTGATGCTCAGTCTCCTGCAGCCTATCTTCCAGGCTCTTCAGGTATTTTTTGACCTCCACCGACAGGTTCTGCATCTCTCGAAGGTCCTTCTCCTGAGCGGCTTTGTAGTCTTCGAAAAGGGCCACCTGGGAGGTCACCTCGCGGAGTTCCTTGCTGAGCTCTGCGTTAGCTTTCGCCAAGGCCTTGTTCTGGGCATCCAGTTCGTGGATCCTCGCGTTGGTGTGGTCCATCTTCTCTCTGATGTCCTCCACCTTCTTCTGCATCTCCTCCATGGCGGCCTTGAATCTGTCCGCCGTCTCTTGCAGGCTCCGGTTGTGGCCTTTGATGGTGCTGTTGTCCTTGAGCAGGGCCTGGTTCTCAGAATCAAGGTAGGCCACCGTCTCTGTCAGGTCACTGATTTGGTAGCGGAGCTTTTCGTTCGTCGTCGACAGTTCCTCCATCGTCAGCGACATGGTGAAGACGTTTCATTCAGAGCTGGAGACCCTATGAGAAGATCAAAAAGGTAAAGGTAAAGGACCCCTGACGGTAAAGTCTAGTCACGAACGACTCTGGGGTTGCGGCGCTCATCTCACTTTACTGGCCGAGGGAGCCGGCGTTTGTCCACAGTTTTTCCAGGTCATGTGGCCTGGACTAAGCCGCTTCTGGCAAAACCAGAGCAGTGCATTTAATTATTTAAATTGTATACCGCCCTATCCATACCTGCAAGTCTCAGGGCAGTTCACAACATAAAAACACAAAACATATAATAAAAACAAAAAACAAAACATCTCACTAGTCCCCCTCCCAAATGCATTTTAAATGGGCGCTGAATGCTGCACATTTCTTATTATTTTAAATTTTGCGGCCCACCCATTTTGTTGTTTGTTTGAAAGAAAGAAAGGCATTCTATGAATCTCTGCTTACTCAAATCCTACTTAGAATCACTGGTCCCATTCTAAGGCTCCTTCCTTTTCGATTTTGAGGTGCCTCCTGAAGTCATTTGAATGTGGTCAGGCTCATGCAACTCATTTTTGTTTCGTTTTAACCGTTTTGCACTGTTTTTATGGTGTTTTATGTCTCATTGCCTATGCTGTTTCACGTCGTCATGCTGCGTTGCATGAGTTGGCGGTGCGTAAATACTTTTACAAATAAAGAAGATATTGCAGAGAGAGAGAGAGAGAGAGAGATTCGTTAAGAGGCAGAGAGGAAGCAGTTAATGATGAACGGCTTGACAGCGAAAGGGCCCCTCAAACAGATTAAAGGGACAGAACGATTTTAATTTTGAGCCTCTTATACGAAGACAGCTAAGCCCCAGAGGGGGAAAATGACAGAGATTTATTCCAGCCAAGGGAGCGCCTAATAGCTGATGATAATGATAAATATTTATGCCCAGCTGGGAGCCTTGAGCCTTCAATTCTTCACCCATATGCACTGAAGCTTGGAGCGAGCAATCTGCAGCAAAGCAGATCAGGACCCTGGTCAGCTCCCAGTGGCTTCTCATAGCTGAGCCAAGGAAGATGTTGTCTCAGCCAGAGCCACCTGAAGGCCTAAGAAAGCTGGTGAGGTTGTCTTTTCCAGGGACTTCACCTCCTTAGGAGGGGTGGTCTGCAGTCTTAAAAGGCCCATAGCCAATTCTATGGGAAATAATAAGGGTTTTGACCCTATGCGGCCTAGGACTCTTGGACCTACGGGACCGCCTCTCTTGGTATGCCCCGAGGAGGACCTTAAGGTCCACAAATGACAACACTTTGGGGGTCCTGAGCCTCAAGGAGGTTAGATTGGTCTCGACTAGGGCCAGGGCCTCTTCGTTCCTCGCCCTGACTTGGTGGAACGCTCTGTCGCAAGAGACTGGGGCCCTGCGGGATTTGACCTCTTTCCGCAGGGCCTGCAAGATGGAGCTGTTCCACCTGGCCTTCGGCTTGGACTCACTCTGACCACTTACTGTATATGGGATTTGGTATATAAATGTTCCCTTGGCTTTTTTGCTGGCCCATGTAGGACCAGCATGGATAGCTGGCTCGGGTGAATATCTGATGTTTCCTCCCTTTATGGTCTTGATTTATGGGCTGCTACTAAAATGAGGCTGCATTTTAAGCTGTATTTTAAGCCACATTTTAATTTTTTTTCTTTTTTTTTTCCTATTGTTTTATTGTAATTTATATTCGGTGTTAGCTGCCCTGAGCCTGGCCCTGGCCGGGGAGGGTGGGGTATAAATAAAATAATAATAATAATAATAATAATAATAATAATAATAATAATAATAATAATTTTGTTATTTAATTAAATTTGTATACTGCCCTATAAAGGTAAAAGGTAAAGGTAAAGGACTCCTGGACGGTTAAGTCCTGTCAAAGGTGACTATGAAGTTGCAGCGCTCATCTCGCTTTCAGGCAGAAGGAGCCGGCGTTTGTCCACAGACTACTAAACTGCTTCTGGCGCAACGGGACACTGTGATGGAAACCAGAGCGCACGGAAACACCATTAACCTTCCTGTCACAGTGATACCTATTTATCTACTTGCATTGGCGTGCTTTTGAACTGCAAGGTTGGCAGGAGCTGGGACAGAGCAACGGGAGCTCACCCCATCGCAGGGATTCGAACCGCCAACCTTCTGATCAGCAAGCCCAAGAGGCTCAGTGGTTTAGACCACAGTGCCAACTGTGTCCCACCACCCTGTACCCATAGATCTCAGGGTAGTTCACAACATAAAATTACAACACCAAAACCACAAGGTACATAATAAAAACAAAAGCAAAGAGAACCCAATTATCTCCCCCCCCCACAACACATTTCAAAAGGACCTGAGAGGTCAATGAGCCAAAGGCCTGGTTAAAGAGGAATGTTTTCACCTGGTGACTAAAGGTGTTTAATGAAGGCGCCAGGTGAGCCTCCCTGGGGAGAGCAATCCACAAATCCTGCAGGGTTTTCATGGCTGCTAGCTATGATGGCTAGGGATGCGGGTGGTGCTGTGGGTTAAACCACAGAGCCTAGGGCTTGCCGATCAGAAGGTTGGTGGTTCGAATCCTCGCAACGGGGTGAGCGCCCGTTGCTCGGTCCCTGCTCCTGCCCACCTAGCAGTTTGAAAGCACGTCAAAGTGCAAGTAGATAAATAGGTACCGCTCCAGCGGGAAGGTAAACGGCATTTCCATGCACTGCCCTGGTTCACCAGAAGCGGCTTAGTCATGCTGGCCACATGACCCGGAAGCTGTACGCCAGCTCCCTCAGCCAGTAAAGCGAGATGAGCGCCGCAACCCCAGAGTCGGCAACGACTGGACCTAACGGTCAGGGGTCCCTTTTCCTTCCCTTTAGACCCATTGAAATTAACAAGCATGACTACAACACCATGCATTTAAAGCACTATTCTAGCACTTTCACAGCCACGGAGCAGCCTGGGAACTGTAGTTTGCGAAGGGTGCCGACCTCCTAGAGCTGCCATGCTCAGCCCTCTTAAGAAACTACAGTTCCCAAGATTCCCCTTGTCTGTTAAAGTGGCAGAATAATCCTTTCACTGTGTTTTGTGGATGACACCATGGTTAGGCCCATTCATTTCAATAAGTCTACTCTGAGTAAATTTAATGCCACTCCTTCAGCCAAAATTGTGCCCCCCCATCACAATTAGGTTTAGAAAAAGGTTATTTTTGTATAAATGGGACCTTGATTCCTGCTCACAGGGGAGATTTTGCAGGGAGACTGCATATGCCCACTTTAATAATATAACACCTTTCCAGTGCTTGCTCCTGAGCGTAGCTGTTATTTTAATGAATGGGGAGTTGCTTATTCAAGTAAACCTAGGTTTTAAAATCCGTTTTGGTATATATGTAACAAATGACTTTGCCGGCACATGTTTAAGGCAAAAGCGCCCCCTGCTGGTGCATGTGTAGTACTGCAGAAGGTTTTCCAAGACTCACTCTGCCTCCTTGGGACCCACGAAATTTGCACCAGCGGGGAGAGAGAAACCGTTCTCCTCAGGAAAAATGGGGAGGAGCGTTGGAGGATCAAGCCTTCTTTATGGAGCCTGGAGAATGAAAACAAAGGGGGTCTTTAAAACCCTGCCTGAGTGCTTTGCCCGTGCTCCAATGTTCTATTGATTCCACACACAAAAAATAAAAATAAAAAGATTTTCTTGGTTTGCAAAAGTATGTGTGTTCTCTCCCGCCCCACCTCCAGGTTGTAGAATCTTTTCTACAGATCAGTTACATTTGATGTGAGACATTACTGTTGTAAATGGTATAATGTTGCCCCTTCTGACCGCAGCACTAATAATAATAATAATAATAATAATAATAATAATAATAATTTATTATTTATACCCCGCCCATCTGGCTGAGTTTCCCCAGCCATTCTGGACGGCCCCCAATTGAGTGTTAAAAACAATACAGCATTAAATATTAAAAACTTCCCTAAACAGGGCTGCCTTCAGATGTCTTTTAAAGATAGGATAGCTGCTTATTTCCTTCATACCTGAAGGGAGGGCGTTCCACAGGGTGGGCGCCACTACCGAGAAGGCCCTCTGTCTGCTTCCCTGTAACCTTACTTCTCGCAATGAGGGAACCACCAGAAGGCCCTCGGAGCTGGACCTCAGTGTCCGGGCTGAACGATGTTTGGAAATGTTCCTCTATCCAAATGCTTGTTACATGAAAATTCATTTAACGAAACTCAAGGAATCAGTTCCCAAACCTCACTAAACGCACCGCAGATTGAGATATCCAAACAGCCGGACCTCTGTTTTTTCCTTCCTTGTTTGCCTTTTGCAAGGTTTCGGAGGGTTTTCCTGGGTTAGAAATTTCTCCATAGAAATAAATGGAAGTGATTGACTCATTATGTGCTCACCTAAACAAACAATTTCCTGAGAATGCGTTGTGTTTGGGAAGTATTGTTCCCTCAGGACAGGAACTACAGTTCCCAGAAATTATTGGGGGGGGGGATCATGCCTTGGATGTGTGTTCAATATATGGCATGAATCCGGTTTCACCAATCAAAATACAGTGGTGCCCCGCAAGGCAGAATGCCTCGCAAGACGGAAAACCCGCTAGACGAAAGGGTTTTCCGTTTTCAATGCGCTTCGCAGGACGAATTTCCCTATGGGCTTGCTTCGCAAGACGAAAATGTCTTGCGAGTCTTGAGATTTTTTTTCCGCTCCCCCCCCTTTTTCTAAGCCGCTAAGCCTTTAATAGCCTTTTAGCAGCTAATCCGCTAAGCCGCTAAGCCTTTAATAGCCACTAAACCGCTAATAGCGCTAATCCGCTAAGCCGCTAATAGGGTTGCTTCGCAAGACGAAAAAACCGCTAGACGAAGATACTCGCGGAACGGATTAATTTCGTCTTGTGAGGCACCACTGTAGGCACATCTCAGATGTTGAGGTCTAATTCCAAAGCCGAAAATTGAAACGGCGAGTCCTGCGGTCACCGCACCCCCAGCGGGTGAATGGCCATGTTTCATGTATGACCTAGTTGAGATTCCTGCAGTGCAAGGGGTTGGACTAGATGACCCTTGGGTCCCCGCAAACTCTACAATTCTTTGATTTTTAGTATTTAGCCAGGCTTGGGCATTTTGCGAAATTTCATCCCCGCACGAATTCCCCGCCTCTGACCCTCAGCCTCCGTTCTGGAGATGCTATACCTTTGTGACTCAGCCGCAGGAGCGAGAGCTAGCAAGAGAATTTGGCACTGCCATGGCGCCCCGGTCGGACTCCTCTCTGGCTGGTCGTGATGAGGATCTTTCTGGCCTAGCACCCCAATTCCGCCCTCACTGCGTTGTCCATTGCAACTTCCCTCATTCCCCTGCTTTCCACTTTCAGATATTCGGCATTTTTTGGCCTCCAATCCCCAAAACACGGGTAGAAAACACACCCCTCTTTCCTATATCGCCGGCTGCCAGCTCCTCGTTGGTTTCCATCTGTCTGTTTTTAATTCGGCACCCATGTCAGGAAGGTAGAAATCCCTCGGGGCGCCATTGTGTTGTCGTTCGTCATGGCAACGCCTCGGCCAATAGCGTCAGCGGGGAGGCAGGGTGATGTCACAAACCTTGGCTCTGATTGGGCTTTTGAATTCCACTTTCCTGAAAGGTTCTTTGAATGCCATTTTTGAGAACTTGCCACTGCATTTTGGGCATGTGTTCATGGAGGAGTGGGGAGGTGGTCATGGGAGAAGCAGGTATCTTTGTCCTCTAGGCCCATAGCCTAGTGGGTAGGGTATCCGTCTAGCGTGCAGAAGGCCTCAGGTTTTATCCCCAGCTTTTCCAGGTGCGGTTATAGCATTGGTTGGCCTTCTGCCATGTCCAGAGAAGAGGGAGTTCTCCTAGATGGAACAAGAAGAAAAGGGTGGACAGGCAGGAGGAGAAACCGCAGTAAAGTCAAGGAAACAGGTCACTTCTGTTCCCAGCACAGCTCCTGGGGTTCTGCTGACCATCATCAAGGACCGAGCCTTTAATGTGGCAGACCCTGCCCTATGGAACTCCCTGCCTCTTGAGGTTTGGGGAGAACCTGTTAGGATTCTTCCTCCGTGTTTGCAGTCATGAGATTGTTGTCTATCACATGACGGTGTATGTTTTCATTCCACAGTGTGGGAAGTGACGGAGACAGGATGTTTGGTATTACTGTGTTCCATGAAGTGGGACTATTGTCCTTTGCCCTTTCTCTCTTTGCTGTCTGATGAGAAAGAGGAAGGAGCTAAGGCAGAATGCTCCAAGTGTATTATATGTAAATAAAGTAGATTAGCCAAGATGCTGAGCTATGGAGTCTGTTACGCGAACCGCCAATACTCTGCAGGTTCCTAAGTGTGCCGATGTCTGTTGCTATCGGTCGCTGTGATGTTCGGGCTGAAGAAAGCTTTTGAAGCTCCCGAAGGACAGACCAGGAGGAAGAGAACTTGCCAGTCGGGCATGTGTCTCTGCCAGGGTCCTACTTGCGAGTAGGACGATCCTAACAGAACCATCTCTCCATTCATTCATCCCTTGAAGACTCTCTAGAATGGAGAGGCATCTGCAGTGTGAATTTTCTTCTTTTAATCCGGTTGTAACAATAATTTATTATTTAAACCCCACCCATCTGGCTGGGTTTCCCCAGCCACTCTGGGCGGCTTCCAACAAAATATTAAAAACACAATAAAACATCAGACATTAAAAACTTCCCTAAACAGGGCTGCCTTCAGATGTCTTCTAAAAGTCAGAATAGTTGTGTATTTCCTTGACATCTGATGGGAGGGCGTTCCACAGGGCAGGTGCCACCTCTGAGAAGGCCCTGTAACCTCACTTCTCTCAGGGAGGGAACCGCCAGAAGGCCCTCGGAGCTGGACCTCAGTGTCTGGGCTGAACAATGGGGGTGGAGACGCTCCTTCAGGCATCCTGGGCCGAGGCCGTTGAGGGCTTTCAAGGTCAGCACCAACCCTTTGAATTGGAAACAAGGTAGGCTTTCAGGACCAGTGTTATGTGATCTCGGCAGCTGCTTCCAGTCACTGATCAGAACCCTCCTTGTACCTTAAATGGAGTTGTTTTTCACTTTTAACAGCCAGCTGTTAGGTCCCAGCCCCCCCAGTTTTGCAGTCAGGCTTCACTGATAATGGGTAATGAAATATACTCGGAGTCGCATAGTGATTTCACACTCTTTATTGCAGCTCGTAAAACAGTGAAAAAAATTTCCCCAAGACCTCAAGCTTTATATACATTATTTGCACAATGGGTCCCATCTGATTGGTTGATTCTGCTTCCCTCCTGGAGCCTGATTGGGCTGCTAATGCAGGCCAATCAGGTTGTTGCATTCTACGATCCTACCTGCCTACTGTTCTAGGATCCAAGCTCAATACATAACAGGTAAGAGAAATTCCACCTCATTGGGGGAGTAATGGCATTGTCCAATGGGGTCCGTTGTTGTCACAACATGCCCATTGGGGTGAATGAAACTTAGCCAGGTGTCGTCGTCTTTGGCGATCCCTCATAGCCGAGTAAGAATGTCTTTTATAAATGCATATTTAACAGTGAGTCCGTAAGTGACTGTGGAGGCCAATTCTGGATCCACACGTCCTTCCATAATGGGGACATAGGTTTCCAGGCAGGAGTTGATCACGGTGTGGATTTGCCAAGCGTGCCTTACTCTTAGCACGTTTCTCCCTTGCTTCCTGAGTTCGAGCGTCTTCAAAGCCCCCGACACCTTTGGTAAAGGCTGTTCTCCAATTGGAGCGCTCGCAGGCCAGTGTTTCCCAATTGTCGGTGTTTATACTACATTTTTAAAGATTTGCCCTGAGAAAGTCTTTAAACCTCTTTTGATCACCAGCATTACGCTTCCCATTTTTAAGTTCGGAATAGAGTAGTTGCTTTGGAAAACAATCATCAGGCATCCACACAACACGACCAGTCCAACAAAGTTGATATTGAAGAATCATTGCTTCAACACGGGTGATCTTTGCTTCATCCAGTACAGTGGTACCTCGGGATGCGAACGGGATCCGTTCCGGAGCCCCATTCGCATCCTCAATGGAACGTAAGACGTGACGACGCATCTGCGCATGTGTGGGTCACATTTTGCCACTTCCGCGCATGCGCCTGATGTCATTTTGAGCATCTGTGCGTGCAAGAGTGGCAAAACCCGGAAGTAACGCGCTCCATTACTTCTGGGTTGCCGCAGAGCGCAACCCGAAAGCGCTCAACCTGAAGCACATTCAACCCGAGGTATGACTGTACATTGGTATTAGTTTGCCTGTCTTCCCAAGTGATGTGTAAAATTTTTCGGAGACACCATTGATGGAATCTTTTGAGCTGTTGGAGATGGCGTTTATAAGTGGTCCATGTTTCACAAGCATATAGTAAGGTTGTGTCAGTCAAAAACTCACAGTTCCATAATGCAACAGGTACTGACTGCATGTCTGATTTGCAGCAGTCTGATCTGGCTAGAAATAAATGAGCTCCCGATCACAAGAAAAGAGTTTCAAAGCTTTACTGCAAACGGTCTTAAACAAGTTACAAAACAAACGTTGGAAGAATACAAAGTAACACATTGCTCTTTAACAAGCCAGCAACGCAGTCCGGTCTTCTTTTTAATACTGTTCAATAAACTTTCCTCTCTCTGGTGCCAGTGAGAGATCCCATGCAAGCGTCGCTGAGCCGAGCCACTACTGCTGATGGCGCCAACGACTGATTTAGATGCTGAGTTTTCAGGTTTAATTTCATGCTGCAAGAGATCTCTATTTGGGCTTCTGGGATGAGTCGTCAATTAACCTGAAACAGAAACAGCCACCCTTTCCCATGGCATTTGCTCTAGCTAAAATTCCTGAATAATGCAAGCATCTCTGCATAGTATTTTAAGCAAAATGCATTCAAACAAATTTCATGCATATTAAACTGATATCTTTAACACTGCTGTGCGAAAGGAACGTTAGGAAACAGGACAGAAGTTCTAGCTTTGTAACAAGGAAATCTAATGCAATATTCCTTGCACCAAACGCAAAGGGATGTTATGAAGAAATATATTGAAGCTGCTTCTCACAGATAAGGTGGTAGATCTAAAAGAAATGGGGACGACCTTATAAAAACCCACAGGAATCAAACTTCTTATTCTGCAATGACTGCTTAAGTGTTGCCTTCCTTCTCTCTGTTGCACCTCCCAGCTCATTCCAATGCAAGGCCTCAGGAGGTATCGCTTTCTAAGCTAAACAAGCTACAGTGGTACCTCGGGTTAAGAACTTAATTTATTCTAGAGGTCCGTTCTTATCCTGAAACTGTTCTTAACCTGAGACAGCACTTTAGCTAATGGGGCCTCCCGCCACAGCCACGCCGCCACGCAATTTCTGTTCTCATCCTAAACCAAGTTCTTAACTCGAGGTACTATTTCTGGGTTAGCGGAGTCTATAACCTGAAACATCTGCAACCTGAAGCGTCTGTAACCCGAGGTACCACTGTATAGCTTAGGGCCCCACTCACTCTCTTGGGGTGCCCCAAAAAAATTTAAGGGGGGAAAACTGGATGTATATCTCCAAAATATAAGATAAAAAACAAATTAAAATAAAACCTACATACAGCAACAGTGTTTTGTGTTGTGTAGGCTCCTAGGATGTAAGTCATGGGCCCTGCCTGCCAGCCTGCTCCCTAAATATCACTGGTTTGCTCCTTTCTATATATAGGGTGCCTACATTCTGCATGGACTGGTTATTTTGTTATGTGCACATGGCTTTAAATACCTATTAGGTCCATAAATTTCCATATAGCATATATTCAACACAAAAAAACAGCGACCATTTGTTGCTGACAAAGGACAGCTGGACATATAAAGGGCCCCATTGCCTTCAGGAGCTGAGGGCCTCATCAAACCTAAATCCGGCCCTGAACAGGAAAGGAGATTCTGACTAAACCTTAGCCAGAACTTTCTGACAGTAGGAGCCATAGCTGTCAAGCGTCCCTTATTTGGCGGGACAGTCCCTTACCCCAGCACACGTCCCGCTGCTGTCCTTTTATTGATGATGTCCCTTAAATTTCCCGGGTTTCAAAGGAAGCAGCTCCTCTCCCTCCCTCCCTGCCGGCCAGGGAGGAGGGAGGCTCCAACTGTGTTGCTTGGCTGCGTTGCTCACCCAATAAGGAGTCTAAGAATGACTGGGGGGTGGAGCTTGCATGCCTTGTGCTGATCAAATCGGCTGCGTAGCCTGGGGACTCGCCTTTGCTCAGCGCTTCCCAGCAGAGAGGTGACGGTGGTTTTCCTTGAGGCTTCGTTTGGCTGCTGGCTGGGCTTTCTGCCTTTGGCTCAGAGGGGCTCAGAAGTTGAACGTACCTGTGCTGAGTGCTCGGATCGGAATCGGATGGATACGTCATTGACGGCCCACTCACCCTTGCTGGCGAAAAGGTCTGTCTGGAGTGGGGGCACATGGTGGGGGAAAAGGAAAGGAGATCTCGTGGGAGGGGGGGCTTTTGAATTTGTTTTGGAGGCTCCTTCAATTGACTTATGGGGGGAAAGAAAGGAGCTGGTTGACTAAAATGGTGGTTGACTGGCGGTCTCGTGGCGAGGGGGGGGAGACTGTGTGTGTGTGTGGCTAGTTAATGCAAGCTGAGGGGTTTTTTGAATGCTGGACACCATTTTGTTACACGTGCTGCTGCAAACTTTGCAGTGCAAAGCCAGACCAGGGAGCCATCTTAAGTTGAGGCTGCATAGGCCTTGTGGTGCATGTGATTCAGATTCTATTCAGTTGAACCTCTGGTTACAAAGCTGGTTGGACAGTGTTCTCAAAGCTACCAGCATGAGTTTGACCAGACTGCAGGAGGACAGGAAGACTGGAGTGCCTGGAACAGGTGAGGCTGCTGGTCCCTTATTTTCAAGGCTGCAGGTCCCTTATTTTGGCTGCTGATCCCTTATTTTCAAGGCTGCTGGTCCCTTATTTTCAAATCTGTAAGTTGACAGCTAGGGTAGGAGCTGTTTAACCATGGAAGGAACACCCTTAAAAGCTGGCGGACTCTCCTTCCTTGGGGGTTTTAAACCAGTGTTTCCCAAAATTGGGTCTCCAGCTGCTTTCAGACTACAATTCCCATCATCCCTGACCTAGCTGGTCTTCCTTGCTAGGGACGATGGGAGTTGTAGTCCAAAAACGGCTGGAGACTCAACTGTGGGAAACACTGGTTTAAACAGAGGGTGGTTGGCCATCTGTCAGGGGTTCTTTCGCTGTGATTGAAGGGGGTTGGACTAGATGACCCTTGGGGTCCCTTCTAACTCTAATTGTATTCTATGATTTTGCACGACCTGCAATTGCCAGCAGCTGGCCATTGGTAGCCCTCTCCTCCTCATGAATTTGCCCAGTCCTCTTTTATAGTCATCCAGGTTGGGGGCCATCACTACATCATGTGGGAGGGAGTTCCATAGCTTTAACTACGGTCTGTGTGAAGAACTGCTTTTTTTTATCTGTCCTGATTCCTCCAAATTTCGGCTTCATTGGGCGTCCCCGAGTTCTCGTCTGATGAGTGGGAACGGAGAAACGTTTCTCTATCCATTTTTGTCCATGCCAGGCATATTCACCCGCAAAGGCCAAGTCATTGTTGGCTCACACTGCCTCCGTCAAATGTGATTGGCCTACAGGTTCCCACGGCAATAATGCAAAGGGTCATTTCCCCACCATCCCCTCTGCTCCTGACATGTCCGCTCTGGGGTTGGGGGTGGGGGGATCATTAAGAACAGCTGCGTGAACGAGATCAAGCAGAAGAACACCTGGCAGCTGGCAAGAAAGGGGTTTGTTCCGTAGCTTAATATAAGGCGGGTGCCGTCCTTGAATCACAGAGGAGCAGAAGAAACCTGGACCCCCTTAGAAGCCCACGGTTTGGCTGAAATTGTACGGTGCTAGGGGATGGGGTTTTCTTAAGCCCACCCAGTGATGTAGCATCCTTTGCTGGTGCGCGGGGCACCCACACATGCACCAGGTGGGACCAGGAGCTGGGCAGAGAGAGGGAACAAAACCCACCATGCCAGCCCAACTCTCACAGGGCTGGCGTTAGACATGGAGGGTTCACGGGGCCACAGAAAAGTCCCTGTGATCACACAGGGTCCCCGGACGTTTCACCATCTATTGATCCCTGTGCCACCACTTTATTTCTCACTGCCACCACCCAGGCCCTACCTGGTACAATACTGAGTCCAGTCAGGGTTAAATTGGAACATAAACTTCTGTTTATTTATTGCAGTTTAACAAGCGTGTGGTTTCATAAACGGTATTGGTGAATTACAATCATGGGGTGCCTATCCAGACCTATAACTTCCGCTACCTGCTCTCCCTCACTAAACCACCTCTCAGATATTTACTTGTCTTCCTAGCTCCTAACTGTTCCTGACTCAGCTTTTTTTGCAACACTAAGTCAACCTACCCACAAACTCTATCCCAATTCACTCCCACTCCAACCAACCACCCAGCTCCTAACGAACTCCCGCCTTCGCCCCTCTCAGAGCTGCTTTTATAGTCCCTCTGACTCCACCCCCTGGGTCTCTGCTCCTTTGCTGGCGCCCGGGACACCCAAACATGCACCAGGTGGGACAGAGGGGGGACAAAACCCACCACGCCAGCCCAACTCTCACAGGGCTGGCGTTAGACATGGAGGGTTCATGGGGCCACACTACATTGCCCACCTGCCCATCGGTGCAAAGGGGAGACCGGCCAACTGATGCAGCCCTTGGCAGGTGACCCTCCCCAACACTGGCCAGACAGCCATTCAAGAAGGGGGCCAGGGGCATGGAGGCCTGGCCCCGGGCTCTGGGGCCCAGAGACCCCCAGCGGCAGGCAGGGCAGGGATCCCTGTGTGGCGCACCCAGCTTGCGCTCCTCAAAATAATGCGCCTGGGATTACGGCCCTCCTAAAGCTTCCCACACTATGCCCCTCAGCCCACCCCATAACTTTCCTTGTATATAGAATCATAGAATCATAGAATCATAGAATCCTAGAGTTGGAAGAGACCACAAGGGCCATCGAGTCCAACCCCCTGCCAAGCAGGAAACACCATCAGAGCACTCCTGACATATGGTTGTCAAGCCTCTGCTTAAAGACCTCCAAAGAAGGAGACTCCACCACACTCCTTGGCAGCAAATTCCACTGTCGAACAGCTCTTACTGTCAGGAAGTTCTTCCTAATGTTTAGGTGGAATCTTCTTTCTTGTAGTTTGGATCCATTGCTCCGTGTCCGCTTCTCTGGAGCAGCAGAAAACAACCTTTCTCCCTCCTCTATGTGATATCCTTTTATATATTTGAACATGGCTATCATATCACCCCTTAACCTCCTCTTCTCCAGGCTAAACATGCCCAGCTCCCTTAGCCGTTCCTCATAAGGCATCGTTTCCAGGCCTTTGACCATTTTGGTTGCCCTCCTCTGGACACGTTCCAGTTTGTCAGTGTCCTTCTTGAACTGTGGTGCCCAGAACTATTTCAATCAATGAGTGGGGGGTAGGCAGAAAAAACAAAACAAATAGGCACAGGTTACTCAAACAGCAGCATCTAAGAAATGGGGAACAAGTGCTGTCCAAAATGGTGCTGGACTAAGTCCCATCAGCCCCTGCCAGCAGATGGCAGCGGTCAGAGATGATAGGAGTCTCAGCCCAGCAGGAGTGGGGAATCTGTGGCCATCCGGATTTGTTGCTTTCATTTTTTTTATAGCATTTATACACAGATTAACAGTTCCAAAATGTATTCGGACTACAACTCCCATCACCCCTGACCATTGGCCAAGCCTAGTACATGAATAAAAATAATTTCGCCCCCTATTTGTATTCAGAGAAGGCCGCCACCGAACGAACAATATCCGCAAGAAGCAGCTGTCTGTAGCCAACCGGCGACGCCACAACGAAACCTAATCCACAATCTCAGAGGCAGCGGGGGGAATATTCGATCTGGTTCGCCTCGATCTGGAGAAACGAAATTTGTGCTGGAAAAAGTTTTAAAAGGAAAAGAACAAGAGGAAGGAGGGAAGGAGGGAAGGAACCCAAATATATCAAGAAGATGAGCCAGAATTTGCAAGACACTCTTGAGAAGTTTCGGAACGTGATGGAAGAAATGGAGCGGAAAGTGGCGGCCATGCGGGAAAGGACGGAGGAAGCTTACAGAAAGATCAACGAGCTGGAAGAGCAGAAATATTCGCTGATTGACTCCAGCGAGCAGCTAAGCAGAGAGCTTCACAAACTGTCCTACCAAGTGGCCCTCTTTGAGACCCAGAAAAACCCTCAAGAAAAGATCTATCAGACTCCCAGGCCGAAGGGAAATTTTGCCGTCGAGAAATGAACAGGAGACAAAAGAATGGCAAAAAATTTTTTTGCTAATGATCGCAACCAACAGCGTGAATTAAAAAAATGACACAAACGTGTTGGTTTTCCCACTTTTTAAAATAGCTCAAGGGTCCCCGTCCTCAAGAAAATACCAGGAGACATAGGGGCCCTGTATGTAGGTTTTATTTGTTTTTTATCTTTATTTTGGAAATGTACATCCAGTTTTTTTCCTTTAATTTTTTTGGGGTGCCCCCAAGAGAGTGGGGCCCTAAACTGTAGCTTGTTTAGCTTATATGTAAATCCGGCACTGTTCCTGTCATTTGAATTCATTGGCCCAGGTCCTTGCTTCTGGAGAGGAGGAATGCAAGCTTGCATTTTCTGCCAGATATTTGAAGATGGGTATCACATTGCCTCGCAGTCACCTCTTTTCCAGGCTAAACTTCCCCTTCTCCCTCAACCGTTCCTCATCAGGCTTCCAGATCCTTGATCATCTTGGTTGCCCTCATCTGCACACCTTACAGCTAGTCAGTGTTTTCCTAAAACTGAAGCCCAGAACACGGGTGTTGTGGTACTCAGGTTCTACTTTTGAGCTGGTGGACTTGTAAAAGGGGTAAAAGATTATATAATGGTATGGGGTTGCTCGTGCGTAAGTTGCCGCCTCTCCTGGCTATGTTGCCTTGTTAAACCTTTCTGTCTGGACAGCCCTTCAATTCGTGGCTGCCTCAGTCGCTAGCAGAATCCGTCAGTGGGCGTTTCTTAAACCTTTTCCAACATAAAAGTTGTTTGACACCCAGTCTCCTCCTACTTTCTCTGCGCGGAAGTCTTCTGCGCAGGGAGGGCGTGGGCAGCGGAGGACCAGTGCTCTCCCTGCTGGTGTCCGGTGAAGAGTCTGGGAGCCCTCTCACCGATTCCCCCATCTGCCCCTCCTTATTCTTGGTGTTGCACTGAATTGCTTCCCCATCTGCTGAGCTGCCTCTCTCCCTGCTGGGCCCTTCTCCAGCATGGAGCCTTCCCTCCACCTCTAGCTCCGATGTCAGTTCCCTGACAGATTATTAGGAAATAATTTGTAATGAATTGAAAAAATATATAATTAAAACTACTTTCCCCAAAATCCAGAGTCCTTTTCGTTGGGAATAATTCAGACAGAAATTCCCAGCATAGCTGTCAACGTTTCCCCCTTTTTAAGGGAAATTCCCTTATTCTGAATAGGATTCCTCGCAAGAAAAGGGAAAAGTTGACCGCTATGATTCCCAGGTGTCAAACATCGGTTATTTATGTATTTATGTATGCCACTACTGCGGTCCGTGTTTTGTTAACCCCAAAATGGAAAACAAGTGAGGTCTCAACCAAACTTAAACTGATGGAATATGCGCAGCTTGCAGACCTAACATATAGAATAAGAGGTCAAGAAGAACATACATTTAGAGAAGATTGGAAAACGTTTATTGAATATATGGGGGGATATTTGAGAAAATGGGCAGCATTAAGATAAATTCAGCAGTGTAAATAAGTTTTGATGGATGTAATAATGGAATACTCAAGGATTTAGTTGATATAAAATATGCAGGGATTTATGTTAGGCAAAATGAACCATGGAAAGAGAAGAAGGCAAGTTGTTGATATTTTAAGGTGGTTTAAATGAATATTCTAAAACGTGAAACAGAAAATTTAATAAAAAATTATGGGGGGTGGCAGGGAAAGGTTCTGCTTTTGAGCTTTCCAGTTGGCTACTGTGAGAACAGGATCCTGGACTTCTTAGCTTAGCAGACTCATTAATCTGCCTTCTCAGATTAATCATCCCGAATGATCAATGAAGATGAATGATGGGGCTTTCAAATTGCTCGTCTATTGATTGCCCTCTCCTTCTGCTTGCTCCCATCTCACTTTTCAAAAATCCATCCTTAGTTATCAAGAACCATCCTGCAGGCAGTTAATCCTTTTGTCAGTACAGTGCTACCTCAGGTTACAGACGCTTCAGGTTACAGACTCCGCTAACCCAGAAATATTACCTTGGGTTAAGAACTTTACCTCAGGATGAGAACAGAAATCACACGGTCGCAGCGGGAGGCCCCATTAGCTAAAGTGGTGCTTCAGCTTAAGAAAAGTTTCAGGTTAAGAACGGACCTCCAGAACGAATTAAGTTCTTAACCCGAGGTACCACTGTGTGTGTGTGTGCGCGTGCGTGCATGCGACTGAACCCTTTCCCCCTACAAATTCCCACCCCAGGACCAGAGCATCGCCACCTACTCCCCAAAAAGGCTCATTGCAGCCAGCCATCTGCTTTCTCCCCTCCATTTGTCTTGTCCAATGGACAGTCGTATCTGGGGTTAAGCCAGAAGAAGGCAAGATTTCATGGCAATAAATCACGGAGGGAGAAAATATCACTGTGGATCATAAACAGTAAATCTGGCACTTTAATTGAACAGTTGGTTAATTGACGAAAACACTTCTGACTACAGCGGTACCTCGGGTTAATTACTTAATTCGTTCCGGAGGTCCGTTCTTAACCTGAAACTGTTCTTAACCTGAAGCACCACTTTAGCTAATGGGGCCTCCCGCTGCCGCTGGAGCATGATTTCTGTTCTCATCCTGAAGCAAAGTCCTTAACCCGAGGTACTATTCCTGGGTTAGCAGAGTCTGTAACCTGAAGCGTATGTAACCCGAGGTACCACTGTAATGAGAAAGGAACCTTTAATGATTTGGGAGAGTAAACTGTTTTCATCATTTTTTTTTATAAAAACCCTCCTGCATTGCAGGGGGTTGGACTAGATGACCCTCGGGGTCTCTTCCATCTCTGCTATTCTATCATTCTATATAATATAAATAAATAAATAGCAAAGGCAGCCACCTTGGCCCACAAGGGAGATTCAAAAATCAGCACGTAGGACAAGATACTTTTGGAGGGGCAACCAAAATGTCACAAAATTGTGTGCAATCTTTTGAGTACTACAGGAATCTCCATCTGGCTAGATATTAAGAGAGAGAGAGAGAGAGAGAGAGAGAGAGAGAGAGAGAGAGAGAGAGAGAAGTATGGAAGCAGATCCGAGCCATCCTGTTGTTGCAGGAATTTATGTCTAGGTTGTGGGGCGTTTTGCCCCTCCAGCAGATATCGTGCACATGCAGCCCACTACCAAAATCAGCACAATCACTTTTGTGACTTTTGTGATTTGTCCCCACAAAACACTTCATCACAGTTGCTTCCTATCTATTCAAAGGGCCTTTGCTGCACGATACCAAGTGTAAGAATTCACTGATAAATGTATCTGTGTATTGACTCACTGGGAAAACTTCAGAAATTCATATAGACATGTGAGCTCAGCTACTCAGCAGCCCCTCTGCCTGAGTGATAATCCCTGGCATCCTGATACCTGAGTGCCAGACAGGTAGCCATTCCGGATATAACAAACCCAGATGAAGACAAAAGGGTGTTATTAACTTGGCTGGGAAACAGGGAAATGTACATATCTCTTTTGTTACACTTGATGGGTGTTTGGTGGAGGGCAAGGGGAACCATGGGGCAGGGTCCAGGATGCTCAGATTACTGCCACCAGACCTCCCCTTCCATGATGTAACCGTGATGTATGAGTGATGTAGCTTGGGGGGGGGGGGATATAGCATGGGGATTAGCAGTTAATAAAAGTTTGGGTGCTTTTTTGTTCAGGGTTTACATCTTGTTCCACCTTGTGGCAGGTGGGAGTCCTGTCGCGACAGTCTTCAATAAAGACCAAGCCTACTGGCTGCTGTTTTGCTCTGGTATTCCTGGCTGGTGTCCTTGTTTTTTGTCCAAGGGAGCCCACAGATTTCTCCGTTAACAGAAGGAACACCCTTAAAAGCTAGTGGACTCTCCTTCCTTGGGGGTTTTAAACTGGTGTTTCCCAAAGTGGGGACTCCAGCTGCTTTCAGACTACAATTCCCATCATCCCTGACCGCTGGTCTTCCTAGCTAGGGACGATGGGAGTTGTAGTTCAAAAACAGCTGGAGACCCATGGAAAATTAAACAGATGAGACAAAAGACATTTGAATCGGCAAACAAATGTGGGAAACTGCTGGCTTGGCAAATGAAAAAAAGACAAAAACCTAATACTATTACAAATTTGGAAGTGGAAGGGAAAAATATACAGAATCCAGTGGAGATCAGAAAGTGTTTTCAGAGGTACTTTAAACAATTATATACACAGGAGACCCAACTGTGGGAAACACTGGTTTAAACAGAGGATGGTCGGACATCTGTCAGGGGTTCTTTCGCTGTGATTGCAGTGGGTTGGACTAGATGAACCTTGGGGTCCCTTCTAACAAAAACCTAAATCCAACCCTGCACAAGCAGGATTCAAACACAAGTCCCCCCTCTCTCCTCCAGTGGTTTCTGGCAACTAGTATTCCCAAGTATGGCTGCCTCTGACTGTCTCCGACTGCCTCCGATAGTCTCCTCCTCCATGAATTTGTTCAGTTCACCCTAAAAACTGTCTAGGCGGGTGGCCTTCACCGCTTTCTGCAGGAATCATAGAATCCTAGAGTTGGAAGAGACCACAAGGGCCATCGAGTCCAACCCCCTGCCAAGCAGGAAACACCATCAGAGCACTCCTGACAGATGGTTGTCAAGCCTCTGCTTAAAGACCTCCAAAGAAGGAGACTCCACCACACTCCTTGGCAGCAAATTCCACTGTCGAACAGCTCTTACTGTCAGGAAGTTCTTCCTAATGTTTAGGTGGAATCTTCTTTCTTGTAGTTTGGATCCATTGCTCCGTGTCCGCTTCTCTGGAGCAGCAGAAAACAACCTTTCTCCCTCCTCTATGTGACATCCTTTTATATCTTTGAACATGGCTATCATATCACCCCTTAACCTCCTCTTCTCCAGGCTAAACATGCCCAGCTCCCTTAGCCGTTCCTCATAAGGCATTGTTTCCAGGCCTTTGACCATTTTGGTTGCCCTCCTCTGGACACGTTCCAGTTTGTCAGTGTCCTTCTTGAACTGTGGTGCCCAGAACTGGACACAGTACTCCAGGTGAGGTCTGACCAGAGCAGAATACAGTGGCACTATAGTGTATTCACTACAGGGGTGAGTTCCAGAACAGAACAATGCGCTGTGTGAAGAAACA